ACGACCATTGAGCAATGAGGACAACATCTATTACTGTAGGGGACATCAGTTTCATTCAAAAGATCAGTCTACACGTTACTCTGGTAATTTACATGTAAGATTCAAATCCTTACTCATTTAATAACACCCCTTTAACGCCGATAGATTGAAGCGTATCTAAATACATTGAAACAGAATATTTTATTGTAAAATGTTTCTACAGTTGGAGAACAATTGAAACAAACAAAATGGATGTCTAAAGTGGAACATATTTTTTTTTTAATTTATTTAAGTTGTAACTTCTGCGAATGATAAATTTTCAAAAATGAAGAAATTGTAAACTTCCTATGATGTTTAAAATTCTACCTATCAGCATCCATCCTTCTTAATTTATGCATCTTTTTTGCCACTTTAAATTTCATTTTTATAAAAAAAATCTAGTTCAAGTTATTTATGTTTCATATACAAACATGATTTAAATCGTTATTGTCAAGATTCTTAATAAAAAATTGAATCATTTGTACATATTTAGATGAATGATACATGAAGAAGGATATGGGGATAACGAACTGTATTCAATCTCAAAGTCCATAAAACAATACAAAATAAGAGCAGAGCAAACACGGACCTCCGAAACATCAGAGGTGGGATCAGATGCAATGGAGGAGTAAGCATCCCCTGCCGACCGGTCACACCCGCCTTGTGCTCCTTGTCATATTTATCATGAAATAATGGAAAAAACCGTCGCCAATTTAGTGTTCATATAATGGACTAACAATAAGTATGAAAAACGTCAGTCAGCATTTGACTCCTGATAAATTGTATTTGCCGACAAGGTCATTGTATCGACCATAGAACTTACAAAATGATGACTTTAAACGAGACGGCTGATATTTTTAATTCATTAGCTTGCTTGTCAATAATTTAACTCGTTTAGAAATTGTTCATACGTAGAGCAAGCTCTTGCGTATCGAATCAACTGAGATATATGGAATCTGGATAGGGCCACGCAGTTCACTATCACATCATCGCACCATCGAGATTTGAGTCGATGGTGCGATGTCGCGAAAATGCGATGACGATGAAGCGATGGTGCGATAACGATGAAGAGATGGTGCGATAGCGCGATGACGATGCTGCGATGGTGCGATACTGTGATGACGATGAAGCGATGGTGCGAAGGAGCGACAAAGCGATGACGCGATGACACGATAGCGATGATACGATAACGCAATAACGATGAAGCGATGCTGTATCATGTCATCATCAGTGCTCTATCGCACTATCGTCATCGCATTATCGCACTATCGACTCTTTTGCGCATGCGCCAATGAAAATAGAAATGGCGTCAGGTAGTGAATATATGAACAGAACATATATCAGAAATAGATCTTAAGATAAACTTCACTTGAGCATTAAAATGAACCATGTCATATACCTTGTTAGAAGGTTGTTGAAATATAGTTTGATAATCAAGATAAATTCAACAATACACTCAGCTTGTGACTGATGTAAAAGAAATCGAAATCCGCGTGATCTAGATTTTGGTTGTTAAAGAGGGGGAGGGGGGTTAATTAATACTGTAGAATGGAAAATAATTACGATGGTTTTGGCTTCACTATGTTTTTCCTCAAAATTAAACCCATCGTGAATGTTTTCATTAACTATTCAAAACGAGTAAATGCTTAAACGAAATTTAAATTAATTTCTTGCATCGTGAAATCAGGAACCTATGTACTAGTATAAAGGTCCCTTGTGAAATTAAAACCATCGCTATTGTACTTTCTGAGAATTCGTGAAATTTTAACACCTTTAAATACAATATTCACAATCAAGAAAATTAAAAGCAAACAAAAAATAAAAGTCTTCCTCCATCTCTCCTCTTGGTACATGTACTTCGTGTTTGTTGTTCAAAATATGAATATCAAATACAAAATTAAAGTCAGTTTATAATCACTTGGCAATAAAATATTTGCTCGAATTTTAACTGCTTATGGTGATACACATAGAAGCTATTCTGTATAGAACCAAAGATGAAATATGATTTCTTTATTATCGTATCCGTTAAAGAAATATTCTTGAATATTTTCATCAATAAACGCCTTGTTGTGAAATGTTAATTAACAATCCGTCGTCGATATATCTCAATGTCGAGTTGAAGGTCACAGTAAGTGTTTTCTAAATACAGGCACGTAGCATCGTTTTTGAAAGGGGGGGGGGGAATTGAGAAAAATTTTTTTACTTACCTCAAAAAAAGTTGACAAGCAAAAAAAAAAAAAAAACCTAAATTTCCCAAATCCTATTTCGTGGGGGGGGGCCAACTTTTCAAGAAAAAATTACTTTAAATTCCAATTTTTTCCTATATTATCTTTCAATGTATATACTGTTGTAGAGAGTGGGGGGCCAACCACCTTTTCAATACACATTTTCTATAGTAAAGGAAATGTTGGGAGAAAAATTGGGGGGGGGGGGGGGGGGCAGGCCCCCCTGCCCCTCACCCCCTGATACTACGTGCCTGAAATATACTCTCACTGATACATATTTCTGCGCATCAGATGTCAGTTTTGATATCTCAATTTGCCAGTGATTTTAAAAGTACATATGAACAACAGTAAAATACGGCCTTTTAAATTCATACATTTTTGGAATCGATTTGCTAATCCTACATAGTGGTTTTACAAACGAGAACAGTTTAAATGCCAACAAAACCGTATCCAAATATGGGCGACTTTATACAATCGAGATATTTATAATTTTGTATATAAAGACTTCTTTACAGGAAACATAAGGTAAGTTTTAATAACATCAACCGTAAACAATTTTGACAACAAAATTCTCTGAAATCTGCTATCAATATATATAGTATATTTGAAATTTAAAAATTACGAGGCATTTTTGTGAGCTCTATGTGATACTTTCTCTTTGATTTTTTTTTTCAAATACCTATCAAACTAAACGTGTCATCATAAAAAAAGAGGCAGATATTCTCTAAATGTGTCTTATTTACATGAATTAAAATGACGGAAGAAGAACAGTGATATTTAACAGTGACTTTAATGTTTAAATTAATCTTTTGTAAGTTTCACCATCACAAATAAAACAAATTAATAATCCGTTTAAAAACAAATCAGTATAATACGTAATGAAAATTCCATGACTTACCAAAGTTTTAAAAGTGGTAGAGGATTGATAAAAAAAAACCACATATTCCACTCAGTGAAGGATTAAATCCTGTAAAGTAAAAATATGACAAGGAAATTCATGATTTAATAGTGTATTTATAAATATTCAGTGTAAATCTCTTTCCGATAGTTACAAAACCCGCCATTTAAAAATAAACTTAAAGTTACACAATGAGTACAAATCATGTTTCCTCTAATATATCTCTAGCATATATAGAAAGACTTAATTGTGAGTATATAGTGAAAATATGACTGCACAGTAAAGCAAGAAAAGACTTCCAAATATAAGTGCCGAAAAAACAATCGTTGCATTTAGCTTTCTTCAATGCATTGAACGTCTAACATAACATGACCTTTCATCGTCAAAGAGACACCCTGATGCACAAAGGGGAAAATTGATATACGTAGAAATTTGCACAATTCGAGTATTTTTTTTTTAAAAAGTATAAGATTTCAGAAAATTAAAGATTTCAGGACCTTAGTTTTTATGGAGAAAATAAAAGTAAAAATAATTTCAGTATACCCCATAACAAAAGCATTTTTATACTTCTTTCTCCCTATTTTACGTGTGGAAACCTGGTGTTTAAGACTTGAAACCATATCATGAAGAAAATGTTATACCTTTATTACGGGCTGTGTGCGTTGAAGCATTGCATATGAAGTTAAATTGATTACCTATTTAATGTATTTTGGACGAAGGGATCAATCATAAAATTTTGCTTGCGGACAAAGAGAAGGAGAATTAAATTTTTATCCGTGATCTATAGAAATGGAAACGGAAAACTTAATTACGTTTAAAGTACGTAGTTTTAATTATACATGTAATTAATATTAGAATTGAATACTATTACTTATCCAGGTTCAATCAAGGGTGTACGGAGACTCTGAGGCCGAAGGGTTTATGGAATACAACCCGGGGTAAATCCCTGTACACCTTTGATTTGACCTGGATAATGAATTTATTTCCTATGCATGCAGTAAAAATTCTTTATAAACATCAAAGTCTAATCAACTGTGTCTCAATTTATCGATAAGATAACTACGTACTTCAATGCATGTCAAGTTTTATTTACCCCCGGCTCAAGTCGGGTGCACGGATATTTACAACTGACTTTGTAATAACCAATCAAAGCTCGTGTTACAAGCTAGATAGAAAATAATGTTCGTTATCTCCATATCATTCTTCCATAGAATAAACATTTCAAAGAACAGTTAAAACTGATGTGCAATGGAGAGTAAAAACGACTTATCTATGGATGTTTTAAAGCATGGTGAATCTATTGTGTTTTGAACGACATTTGATAAACGTAATAGTAAAGCTTTAGAATTTTTTTATTTAAAAAAATATTTGTTCTATTCACTGGTATACTGCTGTAAAATGTTGTAAATTGATGAACTGTCCATTATGAAATATATGTTGTAAATAACATTTATGAATTTCCAAGGCGTTATACACACCTTGCATTTATGATGTTAGTCCATTATTTATACACTGAATTGACGACGGATTTTTTCCGTTATTTCCTGATCATGACAAGGAGCACACGGCGGGAGTGACCGGTCGGCAGGAGATGCTCACTCCTCCATGGCACCTGATCCCACCTCTGATGTTTCAGGGGTCCGTTTTGCTCTGCTCTTATTTTGTATTGTTTTATGGACTTTGAGATTGAATAGTGTTCGTTATCTCCATATCCTTCCGGAAATATTTATCAAAAATTAAATGTTATTTTCAATATTTTAGATGCTTTTACCACAATTTCAAACTTTATAAGTTATCTGCTTTATTTTTTTATGAGTAATAATTTTTATTTATGTTTGGAATCATAGGTATTGCAACTTATGGATGTGCTTGGATGCAGCAACGTATGCAATCCCCAGTGTAAAGTACGACGGTGTTTTCTTTGTAAAGGAGACGTAGAATTCTACTGTTCCACATGTAAACATGACTTGTGTCTACAATGTAAAGAGGGCCATGTTATTGATCTAGATACCATATACCACGATGTTGTGATTTACCGCGAGAAATATGAAAACTTTACAAAACAAGAAACATGTGTTAGACATCCAAACAGAAACTATGAAAAATATTGCCAGTCCTGTGAAATTCCTGTCTGTGTCCAATGCACAGAACACAGAAATAACAAAATGCTTTGCTTCAATTTACAATTCAAAAAACATAGAAAGCACAATACTCAGGATATTAAAACAGCATATAAATTATGCCGAAAAAAATTTGGAAAAATCTTTCAACACATCAGAAGTGAGACTCTTTATAACAGCAGGTTTATCCTGGCCGGAATCAAAACTGACGTGGAATCTTGTCGCTCAAAAATCTCCAACTGTCAATCACAACTGAATACAGAAGGTCAAAGATTAAAAAACCTCATTGACACTGTGGTTTGTGAGTATAGATTGAAACATTATGGTTTCCTCGGAAGCTTTAAACAACAACAAATAATAATGAATAGACATATTAGCAGAATAGAGGATTATGAAGACAAACATGAGCAGTTAGTGCACACCTCCGTTACATTTAATATTTTATTTCTAAAGAAACTGTGTGCCTTTAAGATAAAGGGAACTCCCAATCTTTCTCAACACTCCCCGCTCTTTCTTGCTGAACAACTTAACATTCGGAATGTAATCAAGTTACCGGGTAAAATTCATATCATAGAGACAGGGAAAAGACAATTAAGATTTGAAATGACTACACCCATGTTGCGCAAGTCTATCACAGTGGAAGGTGTTAGTAATGTAGATCACATTTCCTGCGTAGCATCAGATCGAGTCTGGATTAGTGATTGGTATAACAATCTCATTTTGACAAGCACAGAAGGTGAAAAACTACATCATCTGACGAATGTGCTAGGTTCTTATACAGGGATACACACAGTAAACAGATCTGGGGAACTCATTTATACAGACAAGGAGTTTAACATCAATACATTCACAAAAGATATGAAAACTATGGTTACATTAATAAAGAAAACAGAACCATGGAAATCGCAGTGTGTATACTGCTCCCCCATTAATGGAGATCTGCTGGTTGGAATGTATAATTCTGGTACGGAAAAATGCAAAGTAAACCGTTACAACAACGCAGGACAACACATACAGACAATACAATACAACATGGAAGGTCAGGAACTCTACAGATACCCTGTGTTCATCACAGAAAACCGCAATGGAGATATAGTTGTGTCAGACTCTTTCCATGCAGTAGTGGTGACAGATTGTATGGGAAGACATCGCTTCTCCATAAAGGAATCTTCATTCAACTCAGGATTTATGCCGAGTGGAATCTGTACCGACGCGCTGTCTCATATCCTGGTTTGTGATTATAAATCCTATTCAGTATTAATGATTAACGAGGACGGCATTATTCTACCCCCGATTCTTACGGTGTTTCAGTTAAATGATAGACCACAGTGTTTAAGTTATGATCACAAAAGTCACCTTCTTTGGGTTGGATTATTACACCATAAAGTGTGTGCATACAGATACTTCGAAAGGCAAAACTATCTGTAATGTGATTTGATTAATTTGTTAGATTAGCACACAAAGGCGATGAGTCATTGAAAACATAATTTTACTCCGTCAAAAAAAGGAACAAAGCTCTTCTGTTACCTTGCTTTTGTCAAGAATTTTTCATTTATAATTGAACGATGCCTGTACCTGTGATATTCTGAAAACAAACTCTTTACTTGGTCTCTGGGCCGTGAAAGATCATTTTCCCCTTCCAATAGAAATTCGAATGAAAAGTGAACGGACTTGAAGGATAGTGATGCATAGTTATTATAACGACAATGACATTTGCAGTTACTAGCTAAATGTAATTATGAGTGATTAAAAGTAAAAAAGTAATTTGTAGCTGAGGATAGGTGGTCTGAACATTGTAGAAAAAATGAAGAATGAGTTTCAATGTACATGTACATAAAAACAGTGTTAACATACAATTAGTGTGTTTCTTTACTGAAGGTCTTATCGGTGAAGCAAATAAGTAGATAGATTTCAAAACAAGGCATTTAAGGTTAAATAACAAACAAATTTTATTCAGAAACCAGCAATATTCTTACAGATTTACTTTGCAATCGTTAACCTTAATAATTTTTACCACCTAAATCAAAGAGAGAATTGTATAAGATTTTGTCATTAGGTTAAAATTTTGTGCAAAATTTTGTATGGAATTACATGAAAGCAAAACAAAATCTCATACCTAAGCAACAAGGAAAACATATGATTATTTTATATTTCAGGGATTTATTATTTACATCATTTCAATTAAAATCATTCAAAAAATGTATAGCAATCCATGCATCAATTTTATTTTTGGTGTTAAATACCTTTAATTAAATGCATGGATGAAATAGGGAAAAGATAAGCCACATCATAAGACAGCAGCTCAAAACCAGTGACATCATTGTAAAATTTAACCAGAAGTCTCTGTCGAGACTGAAGCTCTACTGTTTGAACTTATAGCAAATGAAGAGAAAAGTACTTAAGCAGCTGGGATTTGAAACTTTACAACAGCAAAAAATAGAATAATGATTGTTGATAAAGTCTCTTTATGTTCTTAGTGTAGTCTATTTGTGTGTCAAGTTATATTGAAATCAGACCAAAACTGTGGGAGGAGTAGCATTTTGAAACAATTTTACAGATATTTCTATTTTTAGTAACCACGGCAACACCGTTCATCAAAATCAAAAACCGATATACAGAATTATGTATCTTAGTGTATTCTACTTGTGTGCCAAGTTATACTGAAATCAGATTAAAACTGTAGGAGAAGTATCATTTTGAAAGAATTTCATAGAAATTTCTATTTTTAGTAACCACGGCAACACCGTTCATCGAAATCAAAAACCGATACACAGAATTATGTATCTTAGTGTATTCTACTTGTGTGCAAAGTCATATTGAAATTAGACCAAAACTGTAGGGGGAGTAGTATTTTGAAAAATTGTTTACAGATAGACGGACAGACAGACAGACAGACGGACAGACGGACGGACGCCGGACGCATTACTATTGTATAAGCTTTTCTGGTCTCTGACCAGTAGAGCTAAAAATTAGTCTTACAAAGAATTGCTAGAGTAATATATACTGAAAGGAAAAAAAGAAACACCGGGTAGCATCGCAGGTTAGTTAAGGCAGCACACAGATCAGAATTCGGCGAAATAAGACTTTTTTTTTTATATGTAACACTTATAAATCGGAAACGTCATGGATAAAACTTTTGCTATCAAGATGCATTCTAAAGGCTTCAAAGGGACTTATACTACAGGAAGCACTGCATCACGACGTCACCACGTGAAATCTATAATAAGAAAAAATGCCTTATTGAAAAAGTGAAAAGTTCAACACTACCCCAGGGATAATTAATTTAAATTTGTAATAATAGTTATTTAAAAACATCTTTGTGCCATGAATAGTGCTGCTAGAATCCTACTGTCCTATCACAGAAATAATTATTGAACACTTTCGGACGAAACCTTTCCAAAATTTTTACATTTTGTTCATAAGATCGAAAAAAAATGCACCAATTCCCGTAAACCATTCGATTCTAGCAGCACTTTCCAAAGTCAATAGACTGAGAACTTTATATAGAAACAAAAATTATGATCCAAAGTGTGCGGCGTGGTGTTGAACTTTTGCATCTCTTTTGTTACGAACGACAGAAGAAAGGCTAATCGACAAGTAAACACCCTGTTTGCTTTTATTTTACGAAGAAATAGTAGAAATATATGAGTATACCTTATTCATGAGCTTTATTCCCACAAGAATCACACATGATATTCATTCTAAATGCTTTTAAACTCCGATTTCTTGTGTTTGTTTACATGAATTCTCGTTACTTTTCACTCTGCTACTTCATGATCAACAGTTATGACGTCACGGGTTTGGTATTCAACCCTGTGATAAATACAGAGACCCAGAAACGACAATTTTCCATTTGTATTTTGCCTATGCATATTTTGATTCATTTTTACGACCTCAAATCAATCTTAGATATCGATTTTAAGAAATTGTTATCTCTTAACTTCACGTCATACAGCTTACTATGAAGGCATATCATATACTGTGGATTCATCAATTTTCATGGGCATCAAATTTCGTTGATTTTAATAAACAGACGTTTTCAAAGATACGTAATGTCGTGGACTTAAGCATTTCGTATACAAAGGAATAGCATATGGATACGTAATTTCGTGGAATTAAGCATTTCGTATGCAAAAGAATAGCATATTTTTTAATTCAATGAACATTTGAATTTATTGATCTGCTCAACAACGAAAGCCTTGAAAATTGGTGCTCAACGAATATTGACGAAACCACAGTAGGCAAGTAGAATATTTGGTTCATACCTTAACATTCCTGCGATTATATTCGCAAATGTTTTGATTGCGTGAATGTTTTGACTCCATGACCGAAAATTCGAAAATTGGTCAGATGGAGATTTTAGTTTTTATGAACAGAAATCCGTGTTCAGAATTACTCAAATGTGAAATAAGTAGGGAATACACCAATAAGCCCTATAGTGATGACGACGAGTTTGCCCGGTATACAGCTGTACACATTGTTTTTAAGTATTTATAGACAATATGAATTTCTTGCAATCCTGGTACAGTTTACGGAAGTTCAATTGGGTCGAATGTTCGAAGTGCCTACGTAAGGAAAATACAACAACGGATTACTGAGCAGTTTCTTGTAAGTCCCCCATAGAAAGCCTTATCCGTTGTCAGAGAGCACTAGAAATTGTTTCCAACCAATCGTGAAGATGACGTTACCGCGAAACAGAGTCATATATTGTGAGCAGGTTATTTGACCTGCGACCTCTTTTATCAACACCTTACTATCACAATCGCTATTAATGCAGTAAAATAAAAGAATCATTAAATTCAACCGCAAACTAAAAAAAAAAAACAAAAAAAACAATTGCGCAATTTGGGTTTTTGAGCGGTCAACTTACTTTTGTGTTCCTCACACTGGTGCATGTGCGCGTCGCGTGGTTAGTCATGCCCAATATATCCAGGATTAAAAAGATAAACATTCTGATAAAGATCTTTCCTGCAAAGGAGGACCAAGGCTGTGACAGATGCGCAGGTGAGACTCTAAAGATAAAGAGGGTTTTTTTCACTTTTTTATATCAGTTTCAATAACGTAATTTCAATAAATTATTAGAAAAAATCAAATGGGATTTTGTTAACATATTCTTTAAAGATGATTTAAAAAACAAGATAGGATATCTGAGAAAAAAAAACTAGAAATAAATTTAAATCACTCAAAAATTTACGCAGTATTTTTTTTTCCTTTCGAATATTTTGCTAGCGAAAAATCAGATATAATCCTGTATATACAGCAGGGTTTTCCACAAGGGGTTTTACCATGGCGGCCCGCCATGATAGTTAAAATCAGCAGCCGCCATGATTAAGTTTCATTGCATTTCAGATTTTCTCTATCAACAATTTTTCTTTAAATTCCTAAGAAGGTACTACAGTTTTGGGAAAATTTTAGTGCATTTGTGAAGTTCGATACAGGATAAATCCTTTTCAATTTAGTTTTTTTTTTACTTTTAAAAGTGTTAGTTATTCCATTGTTTTGTCTTGCAGTGGTTAAGTTTAAAAATTGTAAAACCAATCATTGCTTAATGAAGAGTAGGAAGTTTAACACGCATTTGTGTTTTGGGTCACATTTCGCCTTCGCCCAGCTTTCTCCATGGTTAAATTTCAAATGTGGAGAACCCTGGAACGTCTTTAATCAATGTATACTTCTTCTTTTATATACAATACTAAATCTTTTCCTATTTTCCTATGCATATTTTACGCATACTTTTTACTAAACATACTCATCGAACTAGAGCATGGCCAGTATACAATTACTACTGTACAAAAACGCATTTCATGTACAATGTTAAACACGCATTGAACATTACTACTTTGAACAAACAGTATTAATACCTACTTACTACAATGCTTACGACGCATCATGACAACTGAATATATAAGTACATTATATACACAATTCAACAATATGCTTACTTGAAGAGGGATGTGAAGATAACGAACAAATTTCAATCTCAATATTCAGTCTCAAAGTCCGTGAAACAATGCAAAATAGATGAAGGAAATTGAGAAAACGAACAGTATTCAATATAAAAGTATACAAAACAATACAAAATAGGAGCAGAGCAAAAACGGACCTCCAAACATCAGAGGTATGATCAGGTGCCATGGAGGAGTGAGCATCCCCTGCTGACCGGTCACACCCGCCTAACCTTCTTCTGCACGTCTAAATACTTCTGCACCAGCCTATCTGTCTTTGAAATATGAAATGTTGGCCACTAATAATTATACCCCCGCAAACGAAGTTTGGGGGGTATATAGGAATCACCTTGTCCGTCTGTCCGTCTGTCTGTCTAGCTGTCCGTCCGTCCGTCTGTCCGTCCGTCTTTCTGTCTGTGCAATCGTGTCCGGTCCATATCTTTCTTACAGAGGGACATTAGAATCTACTACTCCACACTAAGATTG